TATGACAGTTGGGTAATCTACTTGGGAAACTAAAAACACTCAGTTACTGACAGAATTAGAGATAAATTTCATTGGTAGACAGCCCTCACATGAATGAATCACGTTAGAGATGCCTGTGGAGAAATGGAAAAAAGGTTCATCACAGTCTCTTCTTCCTGCTCTTCTCCTAACCTCTCCTCTACAACTCTGCTTTAGAGTTCCCCAAGTGTGTTAAAATAAAGCATTAAAGAAACTAAGTTCATTGTTATGATTTCTATCAAGGGAAAAAAACTTTCTCTTACATTCAGAAGCTGTTTAGGTTGAGGAGATTTATTCTGTTCCCAGATTGCAGAGTACACAACAGAGACCGAGGAATCGAGGAATTTTCTATAAGTGGACAGTACCATTTAAATGTCAACTTTGAGTGCACAACTAAACAAGAGTCACACCTAAAACACTGCTATTAAACAGCCAGTGGACATGTTCCCTTACAGCATTCTAACCAGCACATAGGTAGTGTCAGGAAAGAACAACAATAGAATAGCTCAACATGAGGAGTGACCGACAGGGTGGTGGAAGAATTTTCCTGCTGAAATTTTCCAAAGAATCTATCTTTTGCAATGCTGTTGCACAGAAATGCTTATCAGAAAATGGTAATGCCTAACAAGTACCCTACTGTAATATGACTCAATAAACCAAAACAAAGTCCTCTTGACCCCAAATCCCCAACCACTTGAAAAAGCAGAAAAATTGCTGGGAAAGTCAGCAACAAAAGATCACAAAGAAGAACCAATGGAAATCTAGCTGGCCTAAACAAAAAAAGACTCATCAGATATTTCAGGGAGAAAATGTGACTAAAAACATAAGCAGGACTTGGTCACAACTTAGGGACACATTGTGAAGATGTTTCCTAAGGCATTATTTTGTCAATGTGACCCTAACAGTAAAACATTAGGCAGTTACTCTACAGCAAAATTTTATTTTAAGTTTTTTGTTTGCTTTTTAGCCAATACAGCAAAAATTCTATCTGCCAGTGCTATCATGTTCTCCTATGAGGGCTTTCCTTAGAAGGAAGAATATTTATTTCCTTAGTGAAAATGGTTCTTCAAAGCCAAGTCCTAGAATATCACACTTCCAACTTGAGTTGGATAAGCTGCCGTATGTTATCACCAGACTGAAGCCAATTTGCCATCAATGGAATGCAGTATCACAGCTGGGAAAATGCCTGACGTGCTGCACAGCCTCTCAAAGATGCCTCAAAGGCTCACAGAGCCTCAGCTACTCCCACCCCAGACCCACTCATACACTCACAGACAACCCAGGACTCCCCCAGCTGCACCCAGAGTCCTTTGCATTCCCCTTTTCAGCCCTTTTCTGTCATTCTTCAAAGCTTGACCAGCATTTCTAAACCTTCTATTCTGCTTTTTCTCACATACACTCACTTCTTTTTCTTTTACTCCAAAGCACTCCAGCCGGAATCCCTGGAAATTGGTTTGCCTCATGCAAAGCTTGTGACCTTAAAAGAATCACACAGATCAGTTCCCCAAAATTTATTTTAAGTAACCAACATACTCATTTATTAATTACAGCAGGGTAAGACAAGATTGACATTCCAAGACCATAGTTATTAGAGCTCTTCAAAATGAAACACGCCTCATTACCATCAAAATTATCATTTTGAAGTTCCATTTTAAATTTTTTTTTTCTCTCCTTGTTTTAACCACCATTTTGACAAAATTCAGGAACTGGACTAAACCAGTTTATCACAGAACACCTCAAGACTGGAATCCCATCAGACCAAATTGGCAATTAACCTGCAAAGCAGAATTTGTGAATGGAATGTGTCCTATTCCCCCCCACACACCTTAAGGGTTTCTTTGATGGCTGAAAAGACAAATGTCTGAACAGCTCCTAATGTAAAACTGTCTTGAGGTACATGAACAGCAGAAGAAACATAAAGCTAGAGGTGCAACAAGCACAACTTCAAACTTCTTCTCAGTGAGTGTGAAACCCATCTTTAACATATTCTACTTAATTTTCAAAACATTTTTCATCCTACAAGCCAGAATTTCAGATTTTACAGGCAGCAAGACACAGAACCTCCTATGGTTTAGATCCACAGTCCCCACTAAGTTTCCAGCACATACAAAATCCAAACAGAACCTGGAATGCACCATGGCCCAGAAGCAATGGATTGCCTGCAGCATGTCACCATCACTTGATGTCCAAAGGCCTGGGAAGGGTATCCAGACACATCATAGAGCTCTAAGAGGAGCAGAGCAATTACAAAACAGATTTTTGTTAAGTGCAGCAGCGCCAATTGCCCTGAGAGGCAGCCCCAGCACGGTACCCTGTGATGAGGTTACCCATGCTGCTGGAAATGTCATCTTTCATGTACAATAAAAACCCCTTCTGTAGCTACTAACAATACCCTGGCATTGTTTGCAACACGTAGGCTGTTGCACTGGCTAACACCCAATTCCAGTAATAATATTTTATCTACCTACAATCACCACAAGAAAATACTCATTCTCAGCCCTGACTGGTTCAGCAGCAGAACACCAAGCTCCCAAGAGCTGCCACACTCCAGCAAGTTCTGTATCTCCCTGTGCAGTTATCTGTCTGCCACTTCTCTAAAACTCTAAAAACACCTTGAGATTACTGGGAATAAAGGAACTCTTTTCATACAGCACAATTAGCCATATCAGCAATGATAGCTATTTTGAGCAGCACCCATTAAACACTTATCATTAGCAGGATTTCTGGTGTACCAGCATTCATTGTACCAAGAACAAGTCTCTTCCTATTACAGTATTACCACACAAACAAAAGCAGCAGCAGCACAATTTCTCTTGACATAACCCTGTTTCAAGCAAGGCAAGTGGCAGCACTTAAAATGACTGTCAGTGCCAGGTTTAAAGAAAAGCTTACATAGGACAGAAAAATACCATTGTTTTGTGCAAAGCAAAACTGGCCATCATTTGTATGCTGAGGGAGAAGGGGTGTTCAAAAACAATAAATAGTGGGAAGAACTGGAGAATAAAGATCTCAAGCTGGAGACATCACACCCTAAGAAAAATAAGATGCCAGTGACCAAATCCAAGCTGACACCCAAGAATCAGAAGAAACCTGGACTTTACTTTTACACGTCAGTAGCATATATTTGCCTTATTACATTTTATGAGGGATTATTTACCTGTTAGCCAAATTTAAGAGTCTCAGAACAGACTTTCAACTAGAAAAATATTCCCTGTATGCATTGTTTCTAGTTTCCAACCACCCTGAGTAACTCCTGATGGAGAATGAGAGCAGTCAGCAGAAGCACTCCTGCCTTACACCGACAAGGAAGCAGCAGCACAAGGTGCAGGGAGAGCAATGGCTCTGAGCTGCTCCCAGCCTGGCTCCTCCAAGCACCAGGAACACGTACATTGACCTGAAACACATCTTCATCACCGCCACACACTAAATACTTAGAAAGTTCTGCTGGGAAGGAAAGAACAGAAAATACAGGAAAAAAGAAAAAACCTTCTGCAAGTCTTGAACTTGGAAAACTCACCATTCTTTACAGAAGGGTCTGGCTTTATCTTCTGTAGAAACACTGCCCGGGAGAAGACTCGAGCCAAGTGCAAAATCACGTTGGTACCCACGACACACCAACAGCAGCTGTGCACATACCAGAATGGGCCAACACTGCTGATCCCATGAGCTGCATACCAAAACCTTCGTGTGGCCAGGAGCCACACAACACATACCACACACCTCAGAGAGGTGAGGGAATGGGAGCTTCAGCTGCCTGTGCCCACAGAAAACAAATACATTCCTCAAGAGCACCGCTACCTCTTTGCCGACAGCACTGAGCTGAGGAAACACAAACATCCAGCAACAACAGGCTTAAAATGCAGCAGCTGTAGATGTGAGATTGTCCAAGAGCCACCCGGCAGTTAGGGATCAGTGCCATTCTGGGAGCCAGCCCCAGCCTCGTGCCAGCTCCATGTGCCTCCGAAGCCACCACGAGCCACTCGGTAACACCGAGTTTATTGCAGCCACGCACCGCGGAGGTACGGCTGCTTCTCACAACAGCCAGACACCTGCGCCTCTATAAAAACAGTAATGATAATAATAACGGCCAATTTATACCTGTAACACGGTTTATAACCTCACATAAAACAAACAAATAAGACCTTCTGACTGCTTTCAAGTTCCTAAGCCGACATTCACCCGGACAAATACATACCTCTACCATTTCCTCTCCACTCAAACAAATAAAACCCCTCAAGCGGGGAGAAGCGAGGGAGCATTGGTAAAGTTTTAAGCCACAACCCAAAATGCGTTATCCTCTTCTGCTGGCAGCTCCCATATGCACACAACACACGGCTCGGCAACAACAAGCGGCACTCGCAGCCCTCATCAGGTGAGCAATCCGTACGCAGCTGCCGCCCGCAGGCCCCGGGCCGGGGGCGCCGGGCCCGGCCGGCTGTGGGCGGCGCCGGCCGCGCTGCCCGAGCTCCGGCGGCGCCGCCCGGGAGAGGCCGCGCGCCGGGGCCGCCCCAGCGCCGGGGCCGCCCCAGCGCCGGGGCCGGCGGGGCCGGGCGGGCGCCCCGGGGCACCGCGGAGCAGGAGGTGCGCAGGAATGCCCGCAGGCGCAGTGCCGGCCCCGCCGCGCTGCCCGCACACGGGTCACGGCGGGGCGGCCGCAGCCCCGACACCGCCCCGGGATACCCCCGACACCGCCCCGGGATACCCCCGACACCTCGGCCGGCCCGGCCCGGCCCCGCCGGGGCGCTGCGCCCACGGCCCCGGTGGCCGCCGCCTCGCCTCCCCCCGGCCGGGGCTCCCCCCCGACCCCAGCCCCCGCCGGCGCCTCCCGAGCGGCCCAGGGGCTGCCCCGGGCGCTGCCGCCCTCCGCGCCGCGGCCCCCCGGGCGCTGCCGGCCCGGCGCCCGCCCGGCCGGGCCGCGGGGCTCGGGCGGGGCCGGGCCGCGGGGCTCGGCGCCCGGCGGGGTCGGCGCGGCGCTCACTCACCTGCCCGCGACAGCCCCGGGCCCCGCGCCGAGCGCTCCGGAAACGGCGGCGGCTCCGCCGGGGCCGGGGAGGGGCCGGCGAGGGGCGGGCGGAGCCGCGAGTGACAGCGGGAAGGGGCGGCGGAGCGGCGGGCGGCGCCGGCCGAGCGCCGCGGCACCGCGGGGCACCGCGGAGAGCCCCCGGGCCCGCCCGGGTGGGGGGCGAAGAGCCGGAGGGGCGGCCTGGCGGCACAAAGAGCGGGAAGGCATGAATTAATCAGTGAATATTTTATATGAGCTTGAAGTCGTGAAGGTTCTCACTCTGTTGTTTTGCTGTCAGATGCAGCGTCCCGATTCAGGAGAGCTGTTTGAGACGGAGATCACCGGTGGCACCTGCAAAGTTCTGTTTTCCTTTTCTGATCAAAGTCACTTTCTGAACAAACTGGGGAATTTAACACTGGTGTTCAATGCATTTATTTGGGAACTGAGTAAAACGCACAAACATCATCTCGAACGGATCCCTGTGACCTAATTGTCATGGCGCTACCAGCTTTAGGAATTGTTCAGAAATAGGCCTGGTCTAGGATGTGAGGTTTAAACTCGTTTCGTATTATTTCTCAGGCTTAATGCATGTTTTACATAGAAAAGTTTGTTATACAAAATGATGTATTTTCTAATCCTGTTTCCACAGAAAGAGTCTCTGTTAATCCTGTCTTCCTTAATAAAAGGTGATTGCTTTTTATTTCTGTGACTTATTTAGAATCTTACCTTCAAAATGGAACAAGCATTTAATGATGTACAGAAATGTCTAGTAAGTAAAGTTAGAAAATAAGGAAATGTGTAGTAGTAGGAGAGTAGTTAAAAATTGTTAAAATACATGTAAGCAAAATTTTTGCCTACAGGGCTCAGCATCCAATCATCTGGCTCTAATTCCCCCCCAAAAAAACCCCAAACCCACACATTTGGCTATGATACTCATCAAGTGAAAATAACAGTAATTTCAGTGCTGCTAATCAGAAAACTCTGTGGGAAGAAGTGAAATTGTCAATTTATTGGACACCTTCTAGCCACAAGCTAGAAATAGTCCGCAAGCAGCGTCTGCGGGGAGCTGCCTGGGAGCAATCTGTGGCTTTGTTTCCTTCTCCAGAACAGATGGTTGCTGGCAGACCGGGCTTCTCATCAGTGCCTTCCCTCTGAACTCTTCTGATTCTTGTATGTCTACTAAGCATGTCTCTTCCCAGTAAATTTAGTCCTCAAATTAAGTGATACCTGGGAAATACTTGGAAAGACATAAGGAAACAGAAGGCTGTCATATTGTTGGCTCCTTCAAGAGAGAGAGAGGGGTGTTGAGTATTCTTTGTACTGGAAGAATACAATAAAGGGCTGGAGATGGTAATTTTTTACCCTTTTTTTGTGTTTTTAATTAAATGGTTGCTAAGACATTGATTTTGAAAAAAGATAGAAAGACCGATGAGGTTTCAACAAGGTTTTGTTTGGAAGAAGGTATAGCTATGAAGTGGGAAAACTGAGTGTGAAGGGAGTCAAAAGAAGCTGAAGAGGAAGGAAAAGAGAAAATAAAGTACTGGGATGAATTTTCCTTCCTTTCAGCACAGATACTGAGTCAAGACCTAAAAGTAATAAAAAAAAGAAAAACAACCAACCAACCAACCAAAAAAAAAAAACCCAAACAAAAACCAACACACACACCACCAGCCATGTATTTTTAGGGATGCTTCTCTTTCCTGGCGGGGAGCAGGGTGAGCAGGGCAGCCCCCAGGCCGGGGCTGTGCTGGGGCTGTGTCAGGCTGAGCAGAGCTGGGCCTGCAGCAGGAGGACACAGCCCCGGAGCTGCCCTGCGCTGTCACCCGGGTTTGCTGCTCAGATTGGTTCTGTCAATGCTAACAATTAATTAACATACAATAGTCATATTTTTTATTTTCACTCACTGAATTTATTTACATATTGTTATAGGGTGGTTGTTGTTTTTTTTTTACAGTGCTGTATAACAACTTTTAGCATGTAGCTGTCTCTGATGAGCAGACATTTCATTTGAAATTTACTGCAGATTAAATTTATAGATTGAGAGCATAAAGGCACAAAGGACATGTAAGACTTATAGCCTTTAAGTTAATACGTCTTACCAGATGGCAGGAATTTTAGACAGACTGTGAAATAAATAGGAAGTTCACACTTCCTGATACAAACAGGGCATGAAAACATGCAATTCAACAGAGTGTATAATAACCAATGAAGAATAAAGAGGAAACTCTCAAGGGCTAGGAAATATGTAGTGTAGGTATCTACTGTGACTCTGTACATTAAAATTCTTTTTCTGAGGTCTTACAATGCAGTATTTATACTGAGTAGTCTATTTTTAAAATTTTGTGAATTCTGATTTGAAAGATGGTAGTATGATTAATTATTTAGTAAAGTCCTATGTAGATCACCATAGAATAAATGTATTCAGTAATGTTTTCCCCACTGGTGTTACATACATGAGAAAAGTGCTTTCCAAGACCTCCCTTGAATAGGACAGGAAGGAAATCAGTACATAGTTTAAACAAAAAAAATGTAACAATATTTTTTTAGAAAAAGAGGAAAGCAGCTTTGAAATGTATTATGACTACAACTTGTCATGGGCTGTAGGAGGAGGAAATCATTAGCTTGGGAAAAAAGCAGCACTGGCACAATAGCCATGTGCAGATGTTAATAAGGATATGCCTATCAGCAAGGTGTGGGATAAGATTAGGAGGATGAACGTTAGTAATATAATCCCTAAAGAGTGTGTTAAAGGAAAAACCTAATACACAAGAGGTTGTTTCAGTTAAGCAGCTGGAGATGCGTTTAGGAAGAGGAAATGTGGGGACAACCAGGGTGATGTTGGAAAATAGACCTGACCACTAATGTCCTATTGTATCAGCAGTGATTTTTCCCTCTGTGGTTAGTAATTACTGTGGATGCAGTAGTGGGAGCATGTTGAAGAGCAGGATGAGCAGAGCAGTGTTGCCCTGGTGTTTGGGCTGTGTGTGCAGGTGGAGCTGAGCAGCAGTGTGCACGCTGCTCTGGCTGGGGCTGTGTTGTACAGTCTCTACAGAGTGTCACAGCCCTCATGGCCACAGCCTGACCCACTCCTGCTGCCTGGATGTTTGACAATGCAGGCATACATGTAGGCTTCTAAAAATACATTTCACAAATCATCCATTCCAGCTGTCAGGGTGAGAGCAGTCCTTTTGTCCTGCAGCCGTGGACAACGAAAATCCCATTTCGGACAAATGAAATGTAGTCCTTTGCTGCCCGCCAGGAAAGCTGCTGACCTGTGCTTTGTGCCCTCAGTGCTCTGCCCACCATTGTGTCCAACCTGAGGCTTAGCACACAGTTGGCCTCTCGCCCAGGGCCTCTGTAAACAGCAGCAACTGGCCAAAGCAGGCGTGGGCAGAACCCCCAGTGCTCCCTGGAGCAGCTCCTGCCCGCCACCTCCACAGGGCCAGTCCCACTCTGGAAAGACTGAACACGGCTGGCTATAAATGGCCACCTAAAAATAAAACCTTCTCTTGTCAGACTAATCAAAGATCCAGGTCACCTTAAAAAATGCTAGGCTGCAAGCCATACTGGTTATAGGGAAAATAAATAAGTACATAAAGTATATCAACCTCTTAATCCTGCATGGATCAGTCCAGTGTTGATCAAACTGAACGGAGGCTGCTGACTTCAACTGAGACTGGATGTGTCCCATGACCTTCTGGTTTATATATTTAGATTCCCCATACTAATCTTCTCTTCCACAGGTCTGATGTCATCACCATTATTATAAGCAGAATTTGTGACTTGATTGACAGCAAACAACCTTTCCAAAAAGTAGCCAAGGAGTAAGAATGTTTTGTCAGAGTGACATATGATCATCACTGCCTGCAGTCCATTTTTGTTTACCGGTAGTGGAAGAATTTCAAATATTTATAAGGTCAGTGTCCCTAGTCCAGAGAAAAAGAAGATGTGTTTGGTTTTAAATTGTTGTTCTGCTTAAAAACTTGGTTTCCAGTTGGGCTTGAATGAAGGACTAGGCTCTGACGTAAATCCTTTGCCTGTTGCAGACTGGAATGGGCTGCTCCCAACTGCACACACAAAGGGGTCACTGGCATGCCATATTTTTGCTTTAGGAAGTCAAACACTTAAACATATGCATAATTCTTTCTGACTGTCTGGTGATTCAGATGTCTGGGATCTCATTTTCCTTGTTCTTTTGAAAACTTTAACAAAAAGGAATCAGCTTGCAGAACCACAAAAATGTACTTCTCAGCCGGCTGTGGTAAAATAGTTTGCATGGTCATCTCGATACTGGAGAAATATTTGTATTTTAAAAAATCATCCCAGTTTTTAACAAATGGACATAAATTAATTATCAGTAGGGCATTAGCAATTGTGTTAGAACTGTTCAAGGTATGCTGCAAACACAGAGGTGCTGAGAGAATATTTGTGAGACAAAAGAACTGTTGACATTCAGTCATACTAGAGCTTTGAATATTGTTTTAAAACAGATATGCTGAAAATGTGGGAATGAGAACTGGCCTGATTTTTTTTTTCTACTTAATTTGGCATTTAAGTATATGGCACAGTAAGGTTTGACAAAAAGTAAAATGTAAATCTATGTAACTGACCCCACTTATTAATAGGGTGTTAAGATTTATAATGTTATAGAGTCTAAATACTACTTAGGAAGAAGTGAAACAAAATTTAGAATTAATTCTATAGCATATCTAAACAGGTATAGAAAAACAGTGTCCATTCTACTAAATGTTAGAAATTAGAGTCTGCCTACCAAATGATGTGTTTGTTTGACCTTGTTCAACTGACTCCGTTAAAGTGTTGCGTATGTTTCAGATAACAAAATTTGACTTTTTTAGTAAGTGTCTTATATTGGATATAAAAATGTTATTTTACCAGTCTATACTAAACATTTTACCATACAAATGGTAAATTTTATTTAACTTTTGTTAATATAAATACACAAAAATAATACATGTTTATAAATATATATAAATATTTTAAGTGGTCTAGAAAGAAGCCTAAATGGTAGTTTTAAATCATTTCCATGTGGCAATTCCTGCAACATGGAATTATTGCAGG